GATAGCAGGTGAAAAAAAAAACAAGAAGGCAAACAAGCCCAACAAGAGATCCGCAGGACGTTTAACTCGACTTCGAAGAGCCTAGCAACAAAATGAAGTTGAGGCACCTCCACCCCACCCCCCCACCCCCTACCAGCGTGTATCTATGACGTGAATTTTTCTTTTCGTTTTTCACGACAGCATTTTTAATCTCTCTTTCGTGCAACCGAAATTCATTTGATATTATTAAGCTCCACAGAAGGTTTGGTTTTCAACAAGAAAATTGGGCAGTAAGGTTTTTAAGTAAAATAGAATGAATGATGCAATATTCATAAGATAAAATCATCTCAATATTAGTTAATTTACTATATATCAAACGCGGAAGCGACAATAAATTTTTTGAAAAAAAAAGTTAAGCACGCTATTTGCTTCGTGCACCACCATCTTTTCGAGCACTTCCTTGTTTATGTAGCGTTATTTCTTAAGAAATAATCCCAGCCAATAAAACAACGAACACAGGAAACCAAAAAGGAGACAGGAAAGCGGCATGTAGCGTTATGCCATTCCACGAAAATGGTTTGAAAGGTTTATCTTTTTACACAAGAACGGCTGTGCAAATGTGATGCAAAGACGCAAAAACTGGCAGTTATGCTCAAGGTGATGGTGTAATATATTCAATGTTATTTCTGTATTTCTCTGCAGCACTTAGTGCGTATTCTAATAGGCTGCCTTCGTTATCTTGTAGAGCTTGTTCTTGAATTATACAAAAATACACATGAATTTTAATAAGCTCATTCATATTAACTAGGAGCGTTTTGCTGCAGACATTAAGTACGATATGTTAAGACACATTAATTGTGGAAGCAGTTTGACAAAGAGGAAATGCTTTGATAGGAGAAACAGAAGAAATATAAGAAAAAATTGGAGGCGGAGTTACAGGGCTCCATTAAACAGTGGCTAAACGAACACACAACACATTACCTGACAGCAAAATGTAGGAGCATTGCAAATAACCTGCGCGCTTTGTCGGGAACATTCACTTCTAGAACACGACCATGACTCAACAAAATAATTCTGTTTTTGCCAGCGAGTATGAATCTTGATTACCTACAGCCAACGAAGAGCTCGTCTGAAAGAAGAAAGTAAACAAGTGGGAAAGATCACAGCCAACTGCACCGATTACTTTCCGTCTCTGATACAGGGATATTTGCCTTGCAAATCAGTCTTCTCTGAAGTTCAAAAAGAAATACTTAACGAGCACGTAGGAAGCTACAAAGAACGTGGGCATCTGAGGGAATGGAACGTCTTGCAGCTAGCTGCGACAGTGAAGGATCACATTAAACGGAGACACGAAGAAAAATATGTACATAATTAGCGAAATGAGACGTGAAGTCTCCGTGAACATAGATGGAAGGCAACGATGTGTGTCGCAAGATGAGAGAGGGGATGTGTAACTGTGAAAAATGAAGAGAGAGTGGGTGGGGGTGCTAGTTCTATGCAGCAATCTCACGTACGTGTAGAGAAAAGAAGAATTCGCTTTTTCGCGATAGAGAAGTAAAAACTTGGGGTTCCTCCGGCTCGGTTCTGTCTCAATAAATCGGACTTTCTCCTGAGGGCTGCAAGCAAACTCTCTCGCCGGTATGGTCAGGCTGATATCTAGGGTTCCCTGTGAAACCCAGAGAAACGGAAAAAAGTAAAAACAAAGAGATTCCGCGTATTTACAGCCCGTAATAAAAACGTGGGTCACTGTTAGGACCTCCCCTGCTTTTACGACCGACCAATAAACATAAATACTCGGCCGAATGCACACCCGTCAGACGTGAGCGCACGGCCGAGGCATTATACGGGCCAGGCGAGGAGTAGCCAGGCCACGAGACGCCTAAGGTCCCAGTATGGTTCGCTTGTGGACGAGCACTGCGTAGTGACCAAGCGTTATGGCTGTGCTGTAGCTTTCTTCCATTACTCCTTGCTTCCTTCCGTCTACTTCGACGTCCTGCGGATGCCTTGGATGAACGGAACTGTAAATTCTTTGCAACACCACGCTATTGCCTCTGATGCTGAGAGGAGTCCGTGAGGGGGTGCGTGTCTGCGCGCCTGCATCCCCAACACATACGTCTCTAGCGAAGGCGGAGAAAGAAGTCAGCGCGCACTGCGCACTTAAAAACACTGTTCAAGAAGGACTGCTGGTTCGACTAGTGAGTCCGTCACTATTGCAGGACGAATCTAGCGCGAAAAATTACACGTGCGCCAGGGGGAAACACAATCGGCAAGGACAAGCAGCAGCCTTCCTTCGTGAAGTGTTCTTTCAATCGGAAGAAGCACGGCTGTAACGTCTCAACAATCGAGTAAGAATCTGCTCGCTAAACTATAAAAAATGGCCGCTATAATGTCATCGTTTTTAGTTTTGTAAGTATTCCATTGGCTGATTACTATCACAAATACTACGGCAAGCATCTCTTTGGTTAGCATTCTCTCGGAAGAACCATCACAACACACCATCTTTCTGGGAACGAAAAACTTGTGTAACTGAAAAATACGAGACATAAAGAGAGGACAGGCCGGGCCGCCTTTTTCTCACATAAGGCTTTTTTATGTTCTCTCTTTTTGAAAAAAAAAAACCTAATAATAACGAGGTTCTGCTGAGCACTTTGTATATACAAGTCCAGAAGATTGCTCTGTCTTTGTTTTGTTTTTTTCTCTCATATTGTATTTATCAATAAAATCCCCAACGCTTCCCACTACAAATGTATAGCGACATTCAAAATTTTTTCTTAGTCAAGATTCTGCATAAGATTCGTATGTATAAAAGAAATCAAATAGACAATGCTGCGTTTATGATGACTGAATGGAGGCATCAGATCTACAACAGCTAACTTTATTTAAGTTCACCCGACATAAACTGTAGAAACGTGAATGGCAGTAGCACGTAACGAAAAGTCCCGTATGCATGGCAATAACATGCTTAGGCCGTACAAGGCAACAGCTAGGTGTCGGTTTAAGCAGTCAAACATGTACATTATGGCAGAAATCTGGGCTGGTATAATCAAAATATCAATATGTGGGGTTTAACGTCCCAAAACCACCATATGACTATGCGAGACGCCGTAGTGGAGGGCTCCGGAAATTTCGACCACCTGGAGTTCTTTACGTGCACCGAAATCCGAGTATACGGGCATACAGCATTTTCGCCTCCATCGTGAATGCAGCCGCCGCAGCCGGGATTCAATCCCACGACCTGCGGGTGAGCAGCCGAGCCACTAGACCACCGCGGCGGGGCTGGGCCGATATAATAATATCGCAACAATTGCGAAAGCTGCCGCCTTAAGATTTCGCGGAGGCATCAAGCCATTTGTTACAACTATCCTAAGTACCTATACTGAAACAAACTTAGGTGAAAAATAGGTAACAAGGTTACGTAATCGAAATCCCGGCATAGTAAAAAAAAAAACGCGAAAGCAAGAGAAGACTGATAAATTGAATACAGCTTTGTCACCAAGCCCCTAAAGGTAAAGTAATACTAATAGAAAGTCACACCTAATCAACGACGTAGTATCTGTCTTGCTTGTTTTTATGTCTGTTTGTTTGCTTCTTGCTAATGTGACAAGTTCTCCGAAAACTTGTCAAGAATCAAACCAGCGCGAGGAGCGCAACATCAGCTTCAGGGCGAAATGTTGAATACAGTAAGTGCGGATCTTGCTAGGTCCCTCAGAGTCTAGCAAAACTTCACTTCGCAACACAGCGGAAATTAGCAATCCCACGTCTGCCTCAGGAGACAAAAAGAGACATTTAAGAAAACTCCGGATAAAGAGTGATGTAAACAAAAGCAACGCACTTCGATTCCCGTGGCCTAAAGGACCACATCGACAGGAAGCTGCCAAGAGTGCGAGCAAAGCTGCTTGAGCAGCCTGAAGTCCACTGGAGTTTGCAGCACCATGCCGATGTCAACTGGGACAAAACTAAGTCGAAAAAAAATAAGCGAGCAGGCAGCGGAGAAGCGAAGATAAAACTAAGTGGCTATAAAAGCTAAACGGGAAAACAGTGTTCAGCAGGAAGTCAGCGGAAAGCGCTAAGAAGATTTTCTATGAGGCTGTCGTTGCTTGCCTTTGGTATGATTGTTGCTGACCCCAACAAAACTGAGATGTTTCCGAAGGACGTAGTGGTGATGCTTCAATTCACTAAACCACTGCGGCCCTGATAGGAGCTGTGGGCCCTTCGTAACAGGCATCATGATCGACTATCTATAAGTGCGTGAAGCTTCCAATCATTTCATGTAAGGGTTCTGGAGAGCAAAGTTAAAGTAAGTGGAGGTGATAGAATAAACTGCGGCCTAGAACAAAGTGCTTAAATACAATTACAACGCAAATTTGTGACGGCTGTACATTCTGTCGGACTATATTTTTTTTTCGTAAACCTAATTAAACGAGCCACCTAAATCGCATGCGATAGTTATCTGGTGGCTGCGAGCATGTTTAGAAGCGTAAAAAAATGTATTTTTGCAATTCCTGTCAAAACGCGCCACGTCCAACGACTCATAAAACACGGTTCTACCTTGATCAAAGTGATCATGTGTAGCTATACTTAACGAATAAGTATAGAATAAAGTTTCTACGAAATTATGTAGCATGTGTCTGTGTGCCCCTTTTAAAAGAAGGATAAGAACTTAAAGACTTGAAAAAATGTTCTCTGCGTGCATTGCACCGCTCTTATACTTCCTGATCTTGGCATGAGATTACAGCCAAAGAAATCAACCGTCACTGAACGCAACGAGATGCCGGCCCCACACTTGGGTCACACTGTAACTCCGTGACTAAACTACGGCTCTATGTACTTCCTTCTGACGTGGTACGTGTAGCGGTCTTGTGCAGTACTGTTCGCGCAAATGAATCCGGCTCGATTTTCTGGCTAGAAGAGATGATATCACTGCTAAAGTTTACTGAAACTTTCTTAAGCATAGCTTTCCAAGAAGTTTCCTATAGAAAACGATTCTCTGAGGTCCCATGCATCATACACGGAAGTCTTACCTGAACAACCTGTTGATCCAATCCGCTGACTAATGACTGAGAAGAAGACGCGAACTTTGGCGCGTTGCTTGTGGTAAACGAATGTTCACTACTTCTCGATGCCTCATTCGAGTCCTTGGGCACAGCCACAGAGAGTTGCTTCTTGAGAGGTGGCACGCCGGCGGACGACCTGCAGTTCACCGACGAAGTCCGGCTCACCGGCGCCCCATCGCAAGAACGTCTGCTCGACGCCTCCAGCGAGCGACTTGCACGTCGCCGCGACGACGGGGCCCCAAGGCGCCTTCGGTGCCACGCTCAGTTGCTGCGTGATGTCTGGTACCGACCAGCTCCGCGGACCTCTCCAGGGTGCGTCAGGCTTGTCTTTCGCTTCCGGAGACATTGCGGATGTTACCGAACTGACCGTCGTTGTCAGAGATGGCGGCTGACTCGTGGAAGGCTCAGACGCAGCTACGGACCATTTCGCCGATGAAGGAATCCGCGGAAGCGTCCTGTTCCTGTTGCCGCTGCTGCTGGTGTTGTGGCCGCTGTTCTTGGAGTCTTGAGACGTCTGGCGTTTGTAGAAAGACAATACCGCCTGCTTTTGTATGGCTTTCAGTTCGGGATCGGACACCCGATGCTTCTTTTCCGGGTCCAGAAAGAGCATTTTGGGTGGTTCTTTCCGGCTGGATGAAGAGTGAGCCGTCATTGTGCAAGGAGGGTCGAAGGCGGCCTTCAGTTGAGCCACGCGCGAGCACTCGCTGGGTCGAGAAGACTGCTGAGATTTGTTGCGCTGCACTTCGCAGGGTGCGTAGTAAAGCACGCTTTCGGACTCGTGCCGCTTTGGCTGCAACACGCGAGCACTGCGCGCCACGGCCGCTTGACTGGGCGAGACGAGTCTCTGGGTGCCATCGGCGAGGCTACCGTCACACGAAGACTGCGGCGACAGGCGACCACTGTCCGGCAATGTCGAGTGACCACTGTCGAAGAGCGAGGAGCCGTTAGACGCCGAGAAGGCGCTAAGGTCGCTGTACGAGCCATGCCACTTAAGCGTGTCCTGGCTGGAGCCACCGCTGGAGCCAAGTGAGTCGCAGGCTGACTCGCTGCCCAACTGTGGTGCCTCGGTGGCTCGCGGCCAACCATCCCTCTCGCCTTCCTGGTACAGCCTCTGCAAGAAGGGAGCCTCACTCCAGCGCTGATATTGTCTCAGGAACTCGTCGTACTTGCTCAGGTAGGCGTCCGCGCTGCACTCACTCGACTTGCACAAGCTCGGCCGAGAAACAGACGTCATTGGCACTCGGTACGCTAGCTCCGTCTTCTGAAACCGAAGAGGACGCCGGCGCCTTCTTCGCTCCTGGTTCGCAGGCGCGTTCCAGCACCGGCTGTAACTGCTGCGTGGAGATCTTAAAGCTTTTCTTGGGTCTTGCATATCCCTGGGACTTCTCCTTAGGGATAGTCGGTCTCCTGCGTCCACGACTTGGACCGGCAAGCCGTCGACGTCACCGGCGCTGCTGGAGTGACTGGCCACGAAGGATACTTCTCATGTGAGGGCACCGGCGCAGGGCTTCCTCTCCTGCAGCGGCGGTGGCGGCGGAGGTGGGACCCTGGAGTCGTCTTCAGAGCCACTGATCTGAGAGCGCTCACTCCAGCTGGGCCTTGTCGCCTGAAGCACGACCGGAGAAAAGTCCAGGCCACTCTGACTTGCCAGAGCACTGTACACAGTGCCTTTCTTGAAGCGTCGCGTCACCATATCGTCATCGTCACCGGATGCTGATAGCGAGTTACTTCCTCCTGGCGACCTCAGCGACTCGCCGGTTGTGAAGCAGCCCCTCGAACTTCCTGCGTCATCGCCGGTCTCCCTACAAGTGTCTCTGGCGCCAGCGCCGGGATTGCCGGGGCCTGGTGTCCAGGGCCTGCAAAAAATCAAGAGCGAGGAAAAATTATGCACAGAAATTTGAAGCTTCTCTAAAAGAACGTAAATTTACGTTTTTCCACTGCCTACATTACTATCGCGAATACACACCACCTAAATCTAAATACACGCCTCCATCGAAAATGCAGCCACCACGGCAGGGATTCAATCCCGCAACTTGTAAGTCAGCAACTGAGCACACAACTAGACCACCGTGGCGAGAAACGACGAGGACGTTAACGAGGAGATATCGCCATCGCCGTTGCCGTCATGTCCCAGATATGTGTATGTATATATACATATAGAAAAAGCACAAAGAAAAATTAGAAAAAAAAGTTCCAGAGCACCCCACCGGAGATTCAAACCAGCCACACATCACTACTCAGCGCTCTGCGTTAACAAACTAGGCCGCGCTACCCTTTTTGTCTTTTTGATGCATGAAATAAACACCAATAATTGTGAACTACACACAACATAATTCGTCAGAAGTCAGGCAAACACACACAAGCGTCCAGAAGGGGAAACCACTCCGGAACGGGGTTAGGAGCCTCCACAACAGTGCGAACTTATGCTATAAGCATATCACTAACAGCGAGCTTTACGTATATATACATCATTTAGAACAGGTTTATTCTCAATGGACACGATAGAAACATATTTGAGCAAAGCTAGCATGTCTCGCTTGGAGCTATGCTGTTATGCACTTATGCATTAACCACCGGTTTCATGGCCGATCCATCGTCGTGGGTGGGAGCCATGAAGGAACAAGCAAGCTCATCCCACCATCCAGCTGCTTCCGGCATCAACGCCCACATTGCTATGTCTGGGACAATCTGAGGTGGACGGTCTGGTGAAGTTCATTGTAACTGTACTTTTTGCTACCGTAACTGGTACCGCCGATGTCAACAGACGCCAAAGAAGGAAACGCTGGACAAACCGGCGAAAACGCTGTATGTAATGCAGCCTTTGCGATTATATCGCGTGTTGTACGAACACCTGCGGAACAGCTCCCACGGATTGCACATTTGACCATGTTCACTATATTTCGTATGCTTCTTAAATATCCTCGCCTTACTTCGTGTAACAGTCCGATGTGTCGCTGTAGCATTCATTGATCCGGCCTTGTGCCGAAACTGTGACTTTTTTTAAACGTTCATCACCGGCGACCTGAGTAACAGGTTACAAACTTTTGTGGCTTAGCATGACGTATTGTGCGAGTTAAGAGAAAGATGGAGCAGCTTGACACCCGCGACCTAAAAAGCGAAGGTATTGTTATTCCTGCTTTTATCATGCAGCCGGTAGCTTAATGGCTTCATTACCCCTTACGAAATTAGTTTCGTGCAACAATGAAGTGTACGCCAAAGCAAAATGCCAGCTATGTGGCAGGTAAAAAAAGCGAGTACCTGCCAGGACACCGATCTTTCTTTTGATCTCCATGCGTACACCGCATCGCGAGACAGAACACAAGAAAGTTCTCCGATGATGAGATAGCAATAAACAGGCTCTGATTACTTCGAACATTAACCGCAGCGCTGCGACCGTTAAAAGGGCACGTCAAAGAGAGCAGCGCTTTTCCCAGTCAGTTGAAACTCACCTATGCTCGTTATCGCACGCTGTAGATACCCGGGTCATGTTGCTTTCCTCTAACGCAGCAGCAGCAAAACAATAAAAAAAGAGGGCTAGCAATCTGCCCACGAAGTTTGTGAAGTAACGCAGACACTATCCTATCGAACGAAAAAAGCTCATCGAGACCGAGAAGCACAAAGTGCGGAGGCAAGCCACGCTAATCTTAATTAGACTAGGCATTGATTTACGACGAGCAGGGAGGTAACAGTCCCCCTGGTTTTCTTTGTTTTGCTTCTTTCTTCACTGATGGACGTAGGTGTACTCATTGTGTCGCAGTTGCAGCGCTCGTTTTCTCGGTTCCCGAATCAATGCCCATAATTATAAAATCAATAAGCTACCCGTTAAATGAGGTCGCCCGACGCACTCACTACTGCCTTCGGTCGCTCTATTTATTTTTTTTTATCCGTGTTTATTTCTTTCTGCACGTGCTAACTGCTTATTTTAGCTATTGAGAGCGCTCGTGTGCGCCTTCTCTAGAGGCACCGTTGAGAACGGTGTACGCAAATAACTCTCATAAAGTGACGAGCATGATAAACCTGTGAAATAAAGAAAAACCGAAACAGTAGAAGCAGTGAAAGTTCTCTTACTGCCACCACGTGCGTGATAGAAGGCGATACGCCTATGCGGTGATGAATTTAAATGCAGTGTATACTTGTTTGTGATGAAGGAGACAAAAAGAAAGAAGAAAAATGTGAAGAAACGAAAGGAGGGTTCACCATGAATGCGAATATATATATATATATATATATATATATATATATATATATATATATATATATATATATATATATATATATATATATATATATATATATATATATTCAGTAGACTGCACTGCATATTTGAGAAGGAAAAGGGTGTGTGAATGAATGAAAAGAAATGAAACAGCACTCTATGCAGGAGCCGTAAAGTCATTATGACGATATGACGATAGTAATGTACAACTGGTACACTAAAATACGGTCAATGCACCGCCATAATGTGTCGTTCAGCCCGATGTCTGTCAGCAACGCTTATATAGCTATTCACGTAAAACGCTGGCTAGGAAAAGGCTCTAAGTGCTTGGAATTCGAGCTGGCTTAGGGGTACTTTATCAAATGTAGAGTGATCGCGCGCGGATAATGGTGAAACCTTCGTCGAGTGCGCCTTGATTGATTGATTGATTGATTGATTGATTGATATGTGGGGTTTAACGTCCCAAAACCACCATATGATTATGAGAGACGCCGTAGTGGAGGGCTCCGGAAATTTCGACCACCTGGGGTTCTTTAACGTGCACCCAAATCTGAGCACACGGGCCTACAACATTTCCGCCTCCATCGGAAATGCAGCCGCCACAGCCGGGATTTGATCCCGCGACGTGCGGGTCAGCAGCCGAGTACCTTAGCCACTAGACTACCACGGCGGGGCGCCGAGTGCGCCTTGCGAGCGCAACTTGCTGCGACGCTCCTTTACAGAGCATCACGTGACGTGTCTTTGAACGAGAGAGACGCTTGGACGAAATAGTAGCAGCTTCGATTGCAGCGTCCGAGGTGGCTGAGTGCCTAAAGCGTTCTCACATTTTATCTGGCTCGCACCTCACGTTGCGCTCCAACGGCTCAAGGTCATTTCGACGCAATGAATGACCTTGCGAGGCATCGCGCATGACCTCTTCGATCAAATTCAGCCGTTCCGGTACACTCCCCGAGCTAATCGCGGAGGCCACGCACGGAGTAGTAGAGCTTTCACTATGAAACTCTATTTTTCTGTGCTCTCTCATATCAATGCGGTTTGGGGACGTTAAACCCCACATCACATCTGTGCTTTTACAACATTCTGATCACCCTCCGTTGTGGGCCGCTATCGCCGTTATCACCGGCATCACGGTGACTGTCGAAAAATGCCGTCCTCGCAGTCATTGCTTTGGCTAATGTCCATCGCTGTTGTAATCGCATCGTTATGCTTGTGATGTGCTATCAGTCGCACTGTGGATTCAGAATTGACTGTCAAGTATTTTTTTTCGGTACATATGCTATTTGTATTTCTTTGCCCGATACATCTCTGCACTTGTTGTATGCTATTCAAACGAGAAATGCTACGACAAAAACAGGTGTCGTGATATTAAGGCGCGCGCGCTTTTGTCAGCGAGGGCGTCTCAAAACAATGGAGCGCGCGGAGAAAACGAAAAAGAAAAGCGACGTTTCCGCTTCGACCGCAGCTTGGGTGTCTGTCGACGGCGAAACAAAAGGCAATCAATTAGGTAAGCGTCGGGAACCGTGTCTTCTACGCTTCCTTTTTGCACTCCCTTCACTTTGGGCGACCACAATACACCCACAGGGACACAATAGGATCCGGCGGCGACTGTCCAGCGGGCGCTAACGACGCCAATGGCATCGGCCGCCGCTGCCTGGAAAGATGGCGGCCCGAAGAAGCCCGGTTGCGACAACCCGCTCGACCCATTGAAACATGGAAGCACCGGCGGCCACGGTCAATGCTTCGAGCAATGGGAGGCAGGCGCGCGATCCTTTGATGCCCGTGCTTTTGGGCCAACTCACACGGCTAGGCAGTCATTGAATGTGTCCCCTTCGCACGCTATTCAGAAATGCGCCAGCGAAAAAAAAAGAAAAAAAAGAGGCAGGATGCCAGCATACACTTTTACAAGTCTGAAGACATCGCTTAAGGTTTACTTAACGCCTGTTCAAAGGCAGCTTGCAGCTATACGTAAAACCGAGAACAAAGAATGAAAAACGTATCCGGCGAAGTTCTCGCTTTACTCTCGAAAAACATTTTTTCGGTGCACCGAGCGATATTTCTTTTTTTTCCCTTGTTTACGCATTAATTCATTGAACCGAGGCGCCTCTGTGACTCTGCGCCTCTTTTTTTTCCTTTTTCTTCATAGCAACTTTCTGGGATTCAATGCGATTTGTGACTTGTGATGCATTTCTTGCAGATGTGAACACCATTAGCGTCGATGTCATCTCATTAGGATTCGAAGGACTAGATAATCGTTTGATGAAGAACAGAGAGACTATTGGAGCAAACGCTGGTGATTATCTCGAGATATGTAGGCAAGAACATTAGAAGCCGCGTTGAAACTAAGTACAAGTTTCTTAGAAACAATGAAGAAATAAAAGATAAAAAGAATAGAAAATTGACGCAAAATGCACCGCAATTAGTTTGTTTCCCTTTGCCACCTACACACGAAATTATCACATATTGTTTGAAATTACAAAGGCAGGTTTGGGAAAGCTAGGTTGTGAAGTAAAATACAAGAAATGTGAGCCCAAACCACCCAGCCGGCTAGCGTTATACCCAAATGTCCTCTCCCGTTTTATGTTTTTTTTTTTTAGATAGGAGCACACTCAGAAAATAGCCACTGATCTAAGATGCCAACCATCACTGTAAATGAAGAACGCATGAACAAAGCCATTCGTCACAAGCTCTTAACTTGAGGACATAAGCGAAATTCATCATCATCATCATCATCATCATCATCAGCCTGACTACGTCCACTGCAGGACAAAGGCCTCTCCCATATTCCGCCAGTTAACCCGGTCCTGTGCTTGCTGCTTCCAATTTATACCCGCAAACTTCTTAATCTCATCTGCCCACCTAACCTTCTGTCTCCCCCTAACCCGCTTCCCTTTTCTGGGAATAACGCGTTCCCAGAGAAGCGAAATTCACGCTACAATAAAACAAGAGCGTCAGGTGCTGGGAGGCAGTGAATATATTCACAATGTTATTCTTCAAAGAAAATGGATGCACCACACCACTACAAAAACACACTTACGCGTCATGCTTTGTTGAAAGGTTTAGCAATAGGTTTTTCTATACAAGAACCTCCTTTTAGACTAAAAACGTGTATGAAAGTTCGTGAAAAATAAATGGTGCATTGATGCTCAGAACTCGACAACACGTGTTACAGTGGCAGGTGCGGCTCATAAAAAAAAATAGAACATTTCGCAAGCACACTCAGACCTAAACTACCAACATGGTGATTTGAGCGTGGTTTGAGTGAGCCAGGCAACTCCTTCAACTTGAAATTGATAAAAAGTAACCATGGTCGTGTAATCCGCCCATTTACCTGATAGTATATCAACGATTGCACGTATAAACCACCGGTAATGAAGTTTACCTATCCGAAAGCGAAACAATAAGCATTAGCGTCAAACACTCATACACGAGTGAATAGCCAATTTTTGCCCTTTCT